TCTTGTATTAGTCGAATTTATCAATAGGAAAACTCGTGTGTAATTTAATTAGTCAAATCGAATTACCATAATCTATAATGACGTAAACAATGTTATTAAGTTTTAACTTCCGTGACTATAATTTTAGGAAACTTACTTATGAGAGATTCGGAACTAGGATGGGAAAAATACTCAAGGATTGTAATTTTTCATTAGTTCAATCTATGACCCTTGTTCATGATTAGCATTATATGGGCAGTGTTTAGCATTGAGCAAGCTTTTTATTCAGAATTTACATGAAACCCATCTAAATTTGAGACAACTGATATTAAAGATTAGCTTGTACACAATCCTGTTCACTTTTTGTTATATAACTTGATAACTGATGGAATATATGATTAATCATGAGTTAATTAATAGGTATCTAAGCTCCACAGACAATATACAGGAGTTTAATTGAGGCAGAAAAGCGTGATGATTACAATCAAATCAAACTATAATTTAGAACGAGATAAATCCATGCTATGTTCAAATAATTAATCACTGAGTAGCGATCAACGTCATGTTTATATGGTACCTTTTAATAGTGATTTAATCACAACTATCAAACTACAATTCGGTCAACTGTCAAAGTGACTCAGAATCGTGTGTATTATGTTGAGATGTTAGATGATTGGATAAAGTCGAGAAGGAACCGTGAACTATTTTCAACTAGCTAACTGAAATTCATTCTTTTCAAAATCTACTGATCTGAAATTAGTGTAACGAAAAAAAGTAAGTAATTCTCAAGTGACTATTACATTTATTTTATTGATCATCAAATCGCAGCCGAACAAATTCCAGACAATAGCATAATTAAGGATTACTACATTGATTTGCATTTTAAATATTGAACTAAAATGAGTTATCTGATAGGAAACGTCTTTAGTTTACTGATTATCTTAAAGGAGTTTCGGCATGCATGTATAAACTGATAAGCGTAATTGGAGGTCAGATGAAATGAGAATTTGTCCAAATTTTATTGTCGTAATGAGCAATTTGTTTGGTGCAGATGAATCAGGTTGGCCTCTGGAGACATTCTCTTTATCATGGCTTTTAATCTTAAATCAATTTTCTCAGCTATGAAATCAATACTGAAGTCAAATACTACGAAAGATGCCCTTTTCTCAACCGTTGTGCACTTCATTTACTTGGTTTTATCCCTCTTAAACTTAGGAATTTTTTTGAGAACCATTATCACGTAAACAACCTTTAGTTATGATTAATTCCTCCTCAATCTTATGTTTTTACAAGGCGTCCTGTCCAAACCTTTTTTGTGGTTTAGTGGAGAGAATTTATCTAAAATCAAGTATAATCGGATATATGCGTCTTTTAGACAAATAGGTTTTCCGAACTGACCAAATATATATGCGTCACACAAATCATTCGATTTGTATGAGGCCTGGATTACTATCTGGGTGCAAAAACTGAAGTAGGTGGTTTTCTTAGATAACAACTCGAGCCTTTCACCTAGAGGTCCAATCCATATGGCAGTGGAGCAACGTTAGGAGATGCAATCTCATGAAAGCCGCTGATCAACAATCAGTTCATATGCCATTTGTTCCCTCAGGATCCGAACATTCGCTATTCGTTTTCTCAATTTCATAAATAACAGTAATGCCTCGAGAAGACAGTGAGTCAAACCTCTCTTGCAGTAGCCGTATACTCGTGGTTACGTGAGAGCAGTTCGAAAGGATTGTTTGTCATATAAAACATTATTATTACACTTGTTAACCATTTTGAACAATTTATTCAACATCCAGTCCTACCTGCTAATTCTTGCCTAATTCATATTATTCTACATATTATGTGATTTCCGATTTGTAATTACATTATTTACAAGCTCACTTCATGTTGACGATATTTATTCTGATCATTTATCTCACAGTTTCATTTAACGTATAAACTTATTCTAGTGAACACTTCATATTAGTTAACCAAACATTGACGATTTTATTTTATATTAGTTTAAGGTTGTGGAGATTATTAAGGTTAGATTGATATCATTAATGGATCAATGTTAGGCCACCATTGAAAGCATGGAAGCACTGAACGGTCGTTTCGTAATAGTTTGGGACTCCTCAGCAGTGCGCATTCACGATCCCGTCTCACGAGATTCAAACATAGGACCTATCAGTTTCGCGCGTGGGCGCTCAACCTCTAGGCCACTGAGCCAGCATCAATCGGTTTAAATGTCGCTCAATTTTGTGGATCGGTTAACGTTAGACATTAACACCGTCGGATGCCGGCGAGCTCAGTGATCTAGAGGTTGAGCGCTTACGCGAAACTGATAAGTCCTGGGTTTGAAACTCGCGAAGCGGGATCGTGAATGCGCACTGCTGAGGAGACCCATAATAGGACGAAATGGCCGTCCAGTGCTTTCATGTTTTCCATGATGGTCTAGCTTCAATTGATTCATGACCTCAACTAATAAAATTACTATAATATCCACAAATCTCCTTCTGATATAAAACTGTTAAATTACCGGTCAGATACGAAATAGTGTGATATTATTAATTAAACAATCGGCTTTTAAAAGCTTTCAAAATACGTATGAATAATAAAGACTAAATTTAGATTTAAGTGATAAATATTTACTTCCTAAGCATAATTGTTTATGTCCTGATTAAGTAAACGATTAAACTATCCCAAATGTACTGAGTTTTGATCATATACAGATTAAATTTATAGGGAATGGAAAAGAAAAAAAACATTTTTTATAACTGAATTAAATCATATATAATAACATTTTCAATGACGGTTGAATAGTCTGATAGAAATCTATCTAGTTCAAAGAGTAATAGTACTCGGGAAAACAAAATCAATACTATGAACAAAGACCTAAAGTGGTTAGCACTGGAATCCAGTTTGACGCGAGTTTCATCCAATTTGGGACTCGTCAGCTGGATGTACCTGCATCTCAGAGTGGATGTTCACTCTTGGACTCGAAGCTAGTACCTTTCGCCTCAAACGACATCGTGTTTTTCACTCACCTACTGAGTTCTGAGATCCACTTTCTTGTGCTATGGTGTGAAGTTAAAATTCATTTAGTAATGTTTGAATTAAGGCTACATCGAGGCAATACACACAGTATGTACATATGCCAATTAGAGACTGACCAGTTGCAGTCCTAACACATCGATGAGAAGATTTAAATAAACAATACTAAATGAATAATAAAATATGTTTTCATTGCGTTGTGACTGAAATGTAGCTTAAATAAGAAAACAATATTCAGTGACTTAAAGTTTTGTTACGAACATTAGTAAGCTTAAAATATATTAATTTGTAGAATTTTAAAGTCGCAACAGATTAGTACATTCATTTTTGTATAATGATGAGTGAAAGCTGTCAGTCAGTAAGTCATATGCAACATATTGCCTGATAAGTTTGCATCAGTTTTGGTATTACATCACAATAGCACATTAAGATAAAATTATCTAGACAAATCCTAGAGTTGTAGGAGTAGTAACAGTATAGGTTTTAGTGGAAAAGATTGGTATAAAAGGAAGAAAGAAAGCATAAAGAGATTTAGGGACTCAGAATGTAAGGAGTAGGCAGAGTAACTGCATCTGCAATAATACGAACGAATTTGAGCCATGTCACCTAGTCATCAACAATTTGTTACGATAATCTCACAGACCAATACCAAGTATTCTACATTTAGAACAACATATATAAGCGATCAATATTGTTTTCGATTTTACGTAATCTTATAATTTCTATGAATGTTATTTCAGTGTCAATATTTTTCTAATCATTGACGTATTTTCCTATTATGTAACATTGATTCAAGCCTTTTATTATTCTTATCACAACTAGTACACCTATCATTACACTATCAATTTGTACTTTTCACTTATTATTAATTTGAATTATGTAATCTATTCCACTGATATCATTGACTCATAAACTGCCTTGATTGGTTTAATAATTTCGTATATGCATATAAATATTACTGTATATTAGAGTAAAGCCTGATGAGGATCTAATCGAAAACAATATTGTTCGCTTATATATGTTGTTCTAAATCACAATATGGGAATTTTTCAAATTCTTCTACATTTATTAAAAAATATGGCTCAATTCAGTTGTCACTGACTTTCATAAACTCATTCCAACTCTTAGTATGATCATCCATTACCCTATTCCATACTACTTTTACCCCAGACAGGCAGTAGTTGGGCCTACGCAACACATGTTCTAACCATTTCAGTTGACAATCATTCATCACCCTATCAATCGATTTTCCATAATTACCCAGTTCCCTATGCTTAACCGCAGAACTTCTCACTCAGTGATCCCAAAGGTACTAGGTTCGAGTCCCAAATAGGACGAAACGCGCTTCAAACTGGATTCCACTCCTAGCAACTATCCATCTTTGCTTATAACAAATTCATTTGTTTCATAGAAAATTAGGAAACTAACCGTATCTAAGTAATTTACATCAATATTACATTAACCAGACTAAAAGTGATTATAATTCAATTAAAGTTTTTCAATAATAGAATCATTCATTATTCTTTTTATGAATGATTACAGTTTAAAGATTAAGGTTTTAAATTTAAATTTAGTTTACTTTTGTTTTTCTTTATTTTTAAACAAGAAAAATAAATATCAAAAATAATAACGATAAGAGGAAGTTAAATAATAAGACAAAAATTTAAAATTTTAATCTTACTACTATTAATACTACTCATAATACTACTAATAATACAACTACTACTGAATTGTTTCTATGCATATATTATAAAGATAAATTTATTGCTTTATAATACCTAAACCAATTCACATTTAATATTTATGCTTTGCTTTTTATTATTAAACGTATTTATTCAAAGCAGGAAATCAGTCAGTCAGTCAGTTTATTTCCCAATTTCTCTGATATATGTAGATACTGAGAATATATAAATACTTTTTTTTTCTTTTTTTTTAAAAAAAAAAAAAGAAATACTGTAATAAAATCATTTGTTGATACTTACTTTATTATTACTTCCTTGGGTTGTTTGGATAGCAACTGATGAAGGAGATATAGATGGGGGTAACTGAAAATTCAATTGAAAAATAAAAGTATGACAATTGATGTAAATCAGTATAAATAGATCAGAATATAATAGCTAATATTGATTGATTAAGAAAAATTTAGAAGAGAATATTACGACTAATAGTTATTTCTATCATTTTATCATAGAAGAAACGATACTAAGTAGAACAGATGTGATTTATTGAGCAATCTAATCTTAGACGCGCCTTTTGAGCCATTTGGGGTTGTAACATAGGGAATCGAACTCAGTTCTTGTTCCTTCAGACGACTACCGTGTTATTCAGTTATCAAACGATTTTGGAAAATCTGCTTGTGCATATTTATTTATTTTATTTGTTGTAGAATAGATTATCTGATTACAAATGGAAAGAAATGGATATTCTAAATTCTAATGGTAGTCATTTTACATGTACTCAATAAAGCCTGTGACATAATAGGTCAATGAAACAGTTTGCAAGTGAAGAATAAATGTCAACTGAAAGCGATTAAAATTCAATCACCCATGCAACGACGAGATAATTCGCATCATTACATACTATGATTTAGTGTATTTTTTCATGTTTGTAATATTTGATTATTGAGTTATACACATTGTTGAATCGCTTAGTCATTAGTTAGGATCAAATATCAATCACGTGGTTTTAATGTTGTTTCCAACCTAGAAAGATAAAAATAACGGTACGCCTTGTTTAAGGTTAAATGGTCGAAGGAAATCTATAAAAATCATTAAGCACGATTTTGATGACAGTGGACATATTCTGACAAAACCTAGAATAACTTCACAAGGAATTGAAGCTACCTAAGTCGTTCAAACTATATGAAATAATGTTATAACCACAGAGGTCAATGATTATTCTTTTCTTGTACAGAAATAGGTTTTGTACTGACCGGAAACTTCGTAACTGACTATACGTTTATTCACGAGAAAATGTTATAAATGAAATGTAGTTGAAAATAACTTATTGAATATCAAGGTAATTAGTTGACTAAACTACTATACTTCGAACTATATTGATATCAAAACTAAAAAGATAGGGAAATATCGCTCTACGTCGAATTCAAATCAATGTAACTAACTCATATAAGAGTTTGTCATAAGTTTCCTTCGAACTTATTCAGTAGTCCATGTTCTATTGAATTACATCTGATTTGAAGATCAATAGGATATGTTTTAGGTCTTATTGAATGGCTTATTAAAACTCAGTTCGATCATTTGAGTTTGAAATTTAGGCTATTATAAAGTGCTAACCTGAGAGTAACTCCGAATGAACCTACATAAAAGTCATCAGGTTTTCACTAACCTAGAGCCAGAGTTTTGCATCCAAAAGAAGGAATTTGTATACTCGGGCTCGTGAGCACCTTCCAGTGTGGTTAAGCAAAGGTGTAGTCAAAACGGTTAACAGCTCTATTTTAGCCCATTTAGTTCACATGGGAGATAGAGCCAACATCGAGCAATCTTTCACAATAATATATCGTGTTAACAGCAGTCTACCTAATTCTGTCAGACTCAGAATCCTGCAGACGACTGAGGAAATTACTATTCGGATGAAAAAGCTAGAGATTCGCATCCAAAAGAAGTATGTCCAGCAGCTCCTTTTACCCTGACCAACTTCAGGGTCAACTTGTTAATAATCAATTTTATAATATGGTGACAGTAATCTGGTTAATGTTCATTTTTATATCCTAAACTTATTTTATCAACACATCTTAACAATCATTATTATTATCACACTTGCTAACCTTTTAGAGAAATTTATTCAGTATCCACCCCTATCTACTATATCTGACCTAATTCATATAATACCACATATTACGTAATTTCTGATTTGTAATCCCATTGTTCTATCTCACCCCCATGTCAACTATATATATATTCTGATCATTTATCTCACGATTTTATTTCACTTACAAAAGTGATTCAAGTTAACACTTCATCTTAGTCAGCTCCAACATTAACGATTCGATTTGATTTTATATGACAAACAACACCCCTTGATCCACATGTTACAGTTTTGTTAAATGATGTACTCTGCCTTAAACTTGGTCAATCTTCTTTTATGGATTATTAATTTGGATTTATAATTGTAGAGTACCTGACGAGAAATTATTGAAAAGAATATTCTTCGTTCATAATAATAAAACAGTTTGTTCTCATCTTAAACCTACTCTGGCAATATTAGCTTATTATCAAGAGTGATCAGGTTTCAAATTGTTTTCACATCCTTGTCTACTCTTAACCCCCATTTCCAGAGTAGTTGACCTTTTATTTTTATATATCAATGTTCTTAACAAGTATACTATGTGTGATCAGATTGTTCGAAATGTATTGCTCTAACATATCATCACATAAATTCACTTAGTATTGTTTCTTTGAATCTTACCATTGATGTTTAGGACTGCAACCGGTAAGTCTCTAATTGGCATATGTGCATACTGTGCGTATTACCTAGATATAACTTTAATTCACAAGCACTGTAACCAAAGATGGATAGTGGATAACAGTGGAACCCAATTTGACGCTCTTTTCGTCCTATTTGGGACTCGTCAACTGGATGTACCTGCATTTCAGAGTTGATGTTCACCCTAGGACTCGTACCCAGTACATCCAGCTGATGAGTCCTAAACAGGACGAAACGAGTTTCCTGGATTCTACTGCTACCCATTATCCATCTTTGCTTACAATATCATCACGTAGTTCTGATCATCTTCGTCTTCTTATTACTACACTATCAAAATTCAGTGAATAATTTAAACAAAATCACTTCGAAGGACTTCCACAATAGGACGAAACGGCCGTCCATTGCTTCCAAGTTTTCCATGACGGTCTAGCTTCAACTGACTCATGCTTTTAATTATGAAAATACTAAATCTCCACAACAACCCCTTCTGACATTTCAAATAAAATTCACTTACAATTATACGAAATGGTATAGTTTGTTGATTATTTTTATTAATCATTTTTAATTGAAATGGTGTTAAATCATTTATTGTTAATGTTTGACTAAATATCCCATAAGAATCATCACTTAATACAATTGAAGAAACTTCTTCAATCGATTCAATTTTTCTTTTAGATTTTTTTTTAAATTTATTTTTCCATGTTTTTTGATTTTTTATATTATTCATAGGTAATTGATTATCAATAATCGATCGATTAGGCCATAAACATTTTGTATAGAGTAATAATTCTTTTTGAAATGTTAATCCTAATACATCTAAATCATCACGACCAAAACGATAGGAACATGTAAGTATTAAGAAGACATAGTCTGTTGCTTTTAAATCTTGTGATATTAATATAACTCCATCTGTATAATGAAATAAGAAAAAAAAGTTGTTTGATAACAACAATAATATTTTCATAGTTGAAATCATGAGTCAATTGAAGCTAGATCATCATGGAAAACCTGGAAGCACTGGACGGCTGTTTCGTACTATTATGGGACTCCTCATCAGTACGCATCCACGATCCCGCCTCGCCTCGCGAGATTCGAACCCAGGGCCTATCAGCTTCGCACCAGAGCACTTAACCTCTAAACCACTGAGCTGACCGGTATCCAACGGTATTAATGTCTAAATTCAACTGATCCACGAAGTTGAACAACCGTTCACCAATTGTCTTCAGTGAGTTGATATCTCAACAACAAACTTGGTTGAACTCTATTGGTCACTGTTTCTAATATGTTGATTAATTGTTGTCCTTTAAATTACTCTAACACTTAATCAATACAAATACTAAGAACAAACTTTGGTTAAAACTAAACTATCAGTTTAGTATGTAAGCATCAGGGATAATGGTTCTTTTATAATCGCAATAAAACTTTATTGAAGTGCGCTGCCTTGTATAAAACTTTAATCAAAAATTTTCTGACAATTATCTTCAACGACGCTATATCAGTTAAATTATGCCTCAAATTTGAATCACATAAGCTAATGATTATTGAACAGTTCAACCATTAGAATTTCATTAGCAATACAGGTTATACAATACAAATACTAAGAATAAACAAAACTTTTTTGAAGTGTTCTGCCTTGTATAAAACTTTAATCAAAAAAGTTCTGACAGTTGTCTTCAACAACGTCATATTGTAGTGAACAAAACACCGGTTGGGTACAATCAAATGTATCTAAGCACAAATTAAAGACTATCTCACTAAATTCTGTTAACCATACAGCAAACAGTTAATTTGCAAATTAACAAATAATAGTCTCAATCTTCACCATCCCTTTTGTAAATATCAGTCCACCTTCCCTAGTTTCATTGTTCATGCATTTTCTTACCAAATGCGCTTCATTTCAGTTCTTTCCTTATTGGTCTTCTGCTAAAATACATTCTATGTCTGACCATCGCCATATACTACTTATATGGATATAAGTAGACCACACTACAATATCAGTTAAAATGTGCCTCAAATTCGAATCACATACGCTAATGATTATTGAAGATTCTAACCATTAGAATTTCATTCGGAATAAAGGTTATACAATCGGTTCAGTTTTGTGTAGACATAGATTAGTTTTTATTCCATTACAAGGTATAAATCTTTTAAATGAAACTTAAATGTTGGATATTTTCGAGTTTGATTATTTAAACTTAGATACATAGAAGTGAATGTTTTTTGAATTAAAGTACATCAATCAGGGGTACAACTGTTATTGAACATCATAAATCATCAATTTTTTTTAAAATGGTGACAGATTTTGATGCTCTTAATGAGGTGCCAACTGCTCAAGTCTCATATGAAGTTAAATGCGTTGATTAATCTTGCTCTGTTCGAAAAGGAATATAGTAAACACAAAGAAAGTCGTGACAGACATGAAGGATGATATTTGGTGAATAATGTTACTTATTAAATTCATTCAGTATTGTTTGTTTGAATCTTCCCATCGATTTGTTAGGACTGCAACTGGTCAGTCTCTAATTGGCATATGTGCATACTGTGCGTATGGCCTCAATATAGCCTTAATACACAAGCATGTTACTTATTTATTAGTGAAATTGATGAAATCTGTATGAATATTAGTCGAAAAAACAATTCATATTTTCATACATCATGTAGTTAGCTTCTTAGATTGTTCCCATACTCAAATGGTAAGTTTAAACACCACTTTATCATACTGAAAAATCCAAGACCACCACAAAATTTGTTTGTTCGAATGCCGAGTCCATCTTTCTTTAAATTATTGTATGCTATCTACACTTTATTTCTTTTTTTCACAGAAAAATCTATTCGTTTACAAGGGTTACCGGATTATTTCACGAAATTGTGGTGATTTAGGATAAACAGGCTTAATATTCTAATTATGTCCAGCCAAAAAAATAAACATTCACTGGCTGGGTACTATGAGCAATAGCGTTTTATGGGAGAGGATAAACCAGCTCACAGCTGAACAGGAAATTAGGAAAAGACGTTGAAAGTGGATCGGACATACATTGAGGAAAACACCAAACTGCATCATGAGGCAATTCCTAACTTGGAATCCGGAGATGAAATCGAAAAGAGGAAGGCCAAAGAACACATTACTCCGGGAAATAGAAGCAGATATGAAAAGGATGAATGTTAACTGGAAAGAACTGGAAAGGATTGCCCGGGACATGGTTGGATGGAGAATGCTGTTGTGAGGCCTATGCTCCTCCACAAGGGGTAACAGGCACAAGTAAGTAAGTAAAATGATAAACGGGTAAAAGTTATATTATTTAAAGCCAGTACGTAAATTAAACCAGCGCAAAAATCATATTGATACCAACATCATCGTCATCGTAAATTACAGGATTTTTCTAATCTTAATAAACTACATTTTTTTCAAAAGTACCTTTCATCATTATTTCTCTGCATGAATATTTACATCAGAAATAGTAACATCTGACTAAATGAGAAATTAATTTAATAATATTAATAATAGATGGGGGTTTTGTGAAGATTATAGTAATTTTATATAGCTGAGATCATGAGTCAATTGAAGTCAGACCACCATGGAAAACCTCAAAGCACTGAACGGCCGTTTCGTCCTATTGTGGAACTCCTTCAGGTTTTCCATGGTGGTCTAGTTTCAAATGACTCATGATCTCAACTATATAATAATAATAATAATAATAATAGAACTAATAAAAGGAAACATTGTTGCACAAATTTCTAGTTACTTTCACAAAACATTAATTTGGCTTTCGATGGCTTCAATTCATGATCTTAAGACCTTACTACAAACAAACAAGAAAAACCACAATTAGAACATACCGAAAGGATGTATTTTAAACCATATGTTTCATGTGATATATTTAGTTAACATTTATGAGTAATTCAGTGGTATACTTCGAATCAAGAATTACGTTAGAGAACAATTTAGATTACGGTGTAGTTTTTGGGGTATAATTTCAATTATATGTGAATTATAAAACTTAAGAATATATAGGCAAAGATGGATAGTTTCTAGCAGAGAAATCAAGAACACACGTATCGTCTTATTTGGGACTGGTTGGTTGGATGTTTCTGAATCTTAGATTTAGTGTTCACTCTGGAAATCGATTTCAGTACCGTTTACTTCGATCGCCATCGTGTTATCTGCTAAGCGGGCAAAACGCACATCCTGGATTCAATTTCTAGCCACTATCCATCTTTGCTTAAACTACTTGTGAATTAAAGCAATATTAAGACAATCTGACAAGGAAGTACATATGCCGTTAAAAGACTATTCAATGAAAGTCCGAAACATCAATGAAAGATTAAAAAAATACAAAACCGAATCGAATGTTTTATTTCTAATAAGACGTTTTTTATCTTCGCTACTTTAAAATGTCTCATTCAAATTAGTTTTAAATGTCTTGACAATTAGTTGTTGTTATGTATTGAAAAGTTACATTTTATTATGAATAACTTAAGTAACTATCCATCAAATATTTTGATGAACCAATTAATATAACTAACAGATTTCATTAATTTTAATGAAAAGATATTCCATATAATTGAAATCATGAGTCACTTGAAGCTAGACCACTATAGAAAACCTGGAAGCACTGTACGGTCGTTTCGTCCTATCGTGTGACTTCTCAACGGTGTGCATCTGCGATCGCGCATCGCGAGATTCGAACCCAGGACCTATTAGTCTCGCGCGCCGGCATAGAACGGTGTTAATGTCTAATTTCAATTAATCCACGAATTTGAGCAACCATTCACCAATGTCTTCACTGATTTGATATCTCCCAACCTATCTGGTTGAACTTCACTGGTTACTGCTTCTCACTAGAATTTCAGGAAAGACCTCATGGAGCCAGTCACTAGGGTGTACTTGATCATTATCAAAAGGGGAATTTGTGAAGATCTAATAATTTTATATAGTTGAGATTATGAGTCAATTGAAGTTAGACCAACGAGGAAAACCTGGAAGCATGGACAGCCATTTCGTCCTATTATGGCACTCCTTAGGAATGGGTCCGAATCTCATGAGATGGGATTGTGAATGCGCATTACTGAATAGTCCCGCAATAGGTTGAAACGGTCGTCCAGTGCTTCCAGGTTTTCCATGGTGATCTAGCTTCAATTAACTCATGATTTCAACTATATAAAATTACTAAAATCTCCAGAAAAAACCCCCTTCTGGAAAAAAAAGAATTTTTCCAATCAAATTATTTTCATTTTAAGAAAAAAATAATAATGAAAATGTCAAATCTTTTTTTTAAACTGAAAGTTCAATTGATTCTAGAACATGTATCCTATTTAATAATAACAATATAAACTTTATACCAAAAAAACTACTCTTGATGAGGTTAATATTAAAGCATATTATTATATTTTCATTAATAAACTTCTAATTCGATGCCTTAGTTTTTCATTTATTTATAACCAATTAAAAAAAAAACGAGGAAAAAAGATAAATTAAAAAGAGAAAGAAAAGCTTCAAGTTGTTTTTTTTTATTTTTGTTTTTTTATTTTTTGTTTTTTGTGTTTTTTTTGTTTTTTTTTGTTTTTTTTTCGGTTTTCATTTTAACTTTTCAATTAATACAAATTAAAATTAATAATTTATGAATAAACCGTGTAATTTTTTTAAAAAAAAAAGAAGTGATAAGCATTGACTATTTGATAATGGTCAATTTCAAACTGTTAATTATTAATGAAGTTAGAGAAAAATGAATGTTACACTTAGTTTTTATACAGGAAATTTTAAATGTTTCCTATTGTAACTAGTTTAAACTATTAATTATTTTATAACCCATTAACATCAATAAAGATGAATATAAACATTTTTCATATTGGAGAATAGATAAATTTATGGACTAACATAAGCCCTGTACACGAACACCTCAGGCAGGGTGAGGGCATACAACCACCTTTCTCCCTTGTTCCATTCGAGCAGTGGGGTTAGACAGGGTTACCCGATCTCATCATTCCTCTTCAAATTTGCTATCGATGACATTCTGGAAACAGCTCTGATGGATGTAAGTAATGGCGGTGTGGATCTGATGCCTGGAGAACGACTTCTCGACCTTGAGTATGCGGATGATATTGTCTTACTGTGCGATAATGCTCAAGCCATGCAAACCGCACTTAATCAGTTGGCAATCAGTGACCGCAGGTAAGGTATGTACTTTGCACCCTCCAAGTGCAAGGTACTCCTACAAGACTGGCAGGATTCTAATCCTATACTCACACCAGATGGTGAGCAGATTGAAGTAGTTGAGAAATTCGTGTATCTGGATAGCTGCATAAGTGGTGGTGGTGGCGTGAGTGATGAGAATGATGCACGTATAATAAAAGCCAGAGCGGCTTATGCCAATCTGGGCCATCTTTGGCGCCTTTGTGATGCTAGTCTGGCTGTAAAAGTTCGGATCTACAACTCGTCGGTGAGAGCAGTTTTGCTCTATGCTTGTGAAACATGGCCTCTCCGAGTTGAGGATGTTAGACGACTCTCTGTGTTCGATCATCGTTGTCTCCGAAGGATTGCTGACATCCAGTGGCAACACCATGTTAGTAATGCAGAGGTTCGGCATAGTGTGTTCGGACGCAGAGACGATAATTCAATTGGTGTCACCATCTTGAAACATCGACTTCGGTGGCTTGGACATGTTTTGCGTATGTAGTCCCGGAGAATTCTACGTCTTTCATTATTTACCGACTCTGGGACTGGTTGGAAACAGCGGAGAGGTGGTCAGTGTATGACATGGTGTCGTGGTATGAAAGAAAGCTGCAAAGGGCTAGCTTCTGTTAGTCCTTCACTACTCCCTGGCTGGCGTTCGAGAGATGGTGCAACACATTGGCTAGAGACGTTATCAGATATGGCTCAGAATAGAAGCCAGTGGCGATCCTGTTGTAACTTTCTGTTACTTTCTTCATAAAGAGTAGTTCTAACTTTCTTAGCTCAAAAGAGTCTTCCGGTTGTACATTTCAGTCCCCTTTATCTTTTCATCCTCTCTTTCTATTTTTATTATTTTGTGTGGCGCAAATGTATCTGGTGCCTTTTTGTACCAATATGCATGTGTTTAAATAAATAAATAAATAAATAAAACATAGAATCATGAATATATACAATCGAGAGGACGGAAAGCGAGTTTCCAGAGCTATTACCGAGCTGGTGGATATGGAGGATCCACCTACAGGAGTTGAAAAAATACCTGATTCCGAACCAATGGTGAGCATGGGCTAAAGGATTCTGAGGGGAAAATGGCGTATCAACCTATTATCGGTTACCCTCCCATGGAACTGCATCTCCTAACGTCGGTCAAACTGCCCTGTGGATTAGACCTCTAGGTGAAAGGCTCGACGTGCGGCCCTCAAATAATACCACTTGCGTCGGTTTACCCTCACAGGCGGTACTCTAGCCCTTACACAAATCCAGTGATTTGTGTGGGCCCATATATATTTGGCGCCTCCTTGTACCAGTGACCATGTGATTGAATAAATACATTGTCAATATTTAAGGTACGGATAAGATCCAATCTGCAATGCAACGTTAGGATACACAATTTGATCAAAAAATCATGAACTGAATTCAAATTAGATTGCTAGGAAACTAAAATTACGAACTTCAGCCTCCATAAAAAAGGTAAATATGAGTAAAAAGTTGTGGAAATTGTTGAGTTTTTATAATTTATATATTTAAAACTTGTAATAATATTGGGTATACAATGTTCCCAAGCTAATTACAAATTAAATTATTAAACAGTAAAGTTAATATCTAAGTAGTGGATCGGTTGAAGTTAGACATTAACACCGGCTCAGTGGTCTGTAGGCTAAGCGTTCACGTACGAGACTGAAGGTGCTGAGTTTGAATCCCAAGTGCAAGATCGTAGATGCTCACTTCTGAGGAGTCGCACAATAGGACGAAACGGCCATCCACTGCCTCCAGGTTTTCCATGGTTTTATTTATTATCAGTGTTCATATTTCGTAATGCATGTTTAACGTCATCAAGTATTCCTTTGATAGTTAGGTTCCACCTAATTTACTAACTCTTGCTATACATGGTTTTTGTCTCAAATTATTGAGAATCAACTATTTGCATATCGTTTTAATTTTGTATCACCAATACCGTGTTTAAGCACACATTGTAATTTTTTCTGTATGGCTTTCTCCGTCCTCGTAATTCGTGTACTCCTTCATGCAAATTTTTAAGTTAAGTGTATGGATTTTTAGATTGTCTTTCTTATTCTAGTCTTCTCACTTGGTCTTATACAAATTTAGCGTAACCGATCAGCATTTACATAGAATATCAATTAGTCGAGACATTAGTGTAGCCACCTGCATAGTCAAACTTAACCCTTGTAGAGTGAAAAGATTTATCTAATAATAAGTCAAATTATAGTATACCTAAGAACGTTTCAAGTAGCACAATGTCGTTACTCGACTTAATACTATTGAACACTAGTAAAATGGAGTGAAATGGTTTGTCCGTTGGCATTTAATCATCATCGCTCATTCATAATGAGTGGAACAGCAACCTTGTTGAAATCAGAACCATACTTTGGTTTTACCTATCCTAACTTAATGGTAAATCTGATCGATAAATCCCACCTGCTTACCAGTAAATACTTTTTAAACGTTGAACCATTTTTATGCAAACAATGAGAACTTAATGTATATCCTACTTCATATACTCATTCTAAACTTGTGAATGATGAGTATAGTCACCAAAATAAGTAGTTATTTAGTATTTTTCAGATTCTACTCAGATAACTAACAAAATAGGATAGTCCGTATAGTGATAATGAATGAAACTTAAAAAAGTGCTGTATCTAAATTTGAATGAGAACCTATAACAAAAATATCGATAACAGCTACTTGTTCTGAAGTGGTTAATTTCGAGACATAATTCCGAGAGTTCTTGTGACAAGCTGTGACCAATGAAGTTCAACCATATCGCGTGTGAGGTGGCTACCTAAGAGTAGCACTGAATGATGGTTGCATAACATTGGTGGAATTAAATATTTAAATCATAGGACAACGGATCAGTAATCTGTAGGTCGATTACTGGGAAAAACCATGAATTCACACAGCTAGAAAATTCTATACTACAAAAGGACAGCCTAATTTACAAATTATACATCACTGATAATAATAATTGCAACAGTTAAGAGTTGAATACCTTAATATCTGAGGTTAGATTCTGGAAATAACCGTTTGAAATGACAAAATGTCAGAACCAAACTAACATCTGATTTTATTTAGGTCGAATATTTTGTTTGAAACTGTGTTCACAATTTGTAGTAGAATATACATAAAGGTTTCTCAAAAATAAACATATTTACATTAGTCAATAATTATTACTTCTGAATGAAAGCAAAAACAATACTCAGATCAAATAAATGAAATAATTGGCGACTCGTGAAACGATGTTTGATGAAGATCACTCCCTATTTGCTTATTGTTATATCCCGATAAAAATTGTGAATGGTAACTCTTGAAAACTATTTATGGACCGATACAATATGTATATTTTTTATTGTATAATTATTAATTAACTAAACTATGCTTATTCATGTCCCTCTTATTATAAG